TAACTATGCTATAGAAAATTTAATATTTGTTATCGACATATTTATTTTCATTCAAGTATAAAAACATCTCTGAATAATGAAATGTAATAGAGTTTGTGACTATCACTKACAGAATAGCAAAATCGTCTCAAGTCTCAAAAATTGTCTCTGTCAAATTTAGAGACTTGATACTGTATCACAGTACAGAATCGCACGGTAAAGAGTGGAAACTTTTTTATAACCTGCTTTTCTACTTCAGTGTGAGTTATGTCAGCTGTTCGTTCGGTGAATAAAATGGAGTATCATATACATATTATGTTTATATTTTTATATTTTGTTAATCAATCCGTTCAAAGGGGATTTTATATTACTTTTTGAGCAAAATTTAGATATTAGTGTTTTTAAATATTTAACGATATCAATGAGTAATAGTAGAGCGCTGAAACTTCCCAAATGAACGAAACGAAATGGAATTACAAACGATTGTAAGTATATTTATTTAATGTATTATTCGACATTTATGCAAATATGTTTAGTATTATCATAATTTTATTTGTATAATAAACTGGTTCAAAGCAATATCAACCATGTCATCCATTCAAATCTCACGTTTAATCAAGACTGATAACGGATAAGTGCGAAGAAACATTGACTTTAGGGATTCTTTACAGGCATTTCGGTTTTGTATGCATACATTTTTATTAATTTTGTTTGCTTCGCAAATGAGTCCGCCACTTGTGCTTATCAACAAGTTTCATTGCCCTATATCCATGCACTTTTAAATTTGTTTTATTCAGATTTCATTAAATTAAATTTCTGGGCGATCAACATTTCTCAACTCGTTAGTCATGCACCCTTTGATGGTTTTACATTATTGCACCGAATCAATATTTTAATATTTTTGTTCAAGTCCCAGACTACATATTAGTGCAGTTTTTGCAGTGTGGTGCACACTTTAGAGTCTAGAATAGCAATATTTTGAACTTTAGCCTATTTAAAATTTTAGTCTCGGATTTTTATATTTAGAGGAGTTTCAAATGCGATTATATACACATGTATATTGTCAAGATCAAAAGTTTTCGATTTATTCATTTAATTTGCACATGTATAGTATATTTTATTATAATTCCGCGGTCTCCTCAACAACCAACATTTGAAACTTTGGATTGAGGTATTAGCGCAATAATTGATTCTTTGGCCTACCTGTGAGTCTGCAATTCTACCTTGATGCCAGTAGGTGGCTATTTACCAAACTGATGACCCTCTACTAAGGGAGCACAAACAAACATAAATTTTTAATTAATTGAAGTTTTTGAGATTCATAAATACATACATACATATTTTATCAAATCGCTAAGAAAATCGTTTGTGGGGTTATAGCATTATTTATGAATGTTATTTATTGAAAGGGAATAAGAAATAAAAATAAAGTCAAAAGAAGTATTATGTTTTAATAAATGGCTACAGCAAAGAGCGAAAAAATTATAATTTATTTTGCTTTGTGGTATCCGTAACAGATTAGAAATGAAAATAAACAATTGTGTTGGAAAATAAACAAAGTTCAATAATTGAAAAGTTGCACGCGTCCGTGGTCAACGTAGATAAATATGTGTGTGTTTGTGAACCTGAACTCATTTTATTTTATAAGCAAACCCATAACTGAACTAGTTATTTTCCACGTCGAAAAGCTAAATTTAAAATTATTAGAAGACTAAAATTTGTAATTTTTAAATAGATGCACACACACCCACACATTTATTTAGAATTACACACACATATAAAGATATTAATCTTCCTTATGCGAACACCTGTTGTGAATCGGAATAGCTCGCACCATTCTGATGGCGCTATTAGTACACTCGGGAGAAAAGGCAACAATACACCTGTACCTATTAATTTAAGCCATTAATTATTATTAATGATATTCTACATATGTATACTATACCTAACACACTAAAAAATTAAGAATAGACTAGTACGGAAGCACCGAGTTCGGGTGTAACCGAACATTTTATATACTAGAAATTAAATTACAGGAGGAGAAACACATGTAGGTGCTGCAAAACTTAAAACTAAATATTGTTTCGAGAAAATGGGAATGGATCGCAGTCAAATACATGTACATATGTTTGTATGTCATTAACTTATATTCAATGAGACATAAATTCAACCGAAGTGGCTAAGTGTAATATCTTGAGTTGATGGGGGGAGAATTCCTTATATTAGAAATATGAGGTTTGGACCAGGGTCTAGATCAATTTCAGACCCTATATTATTATATATATTCAGCACTAAACCACATTATGGTTGATAAGTAATTTTATCGAAGTATTACACATTTTGACCTATATAACCGTTTTGAAGTCTAATGGAAAGTCAAAATGGATGAAAGTCACTATATCGTATACATATATCTATATTGGGTAGACACACAAATCTGTTCACAAATTCTGTATCTGGGAACTTGAAAAGTTATGTTTCGATTTCGTCTATTTTTGGTAAACATAATCACCAGTGTTTGATATTACTACTAGCATTTGATATCAGATTTTAATTCAGGGGTACAAAGTAGGTATTTTTTTCTTTGACCTTTTTATAAAGTTTATACACTATACTCGATCGTCAAAGTTAATATACCACGTTCTACCGAACCTGTTCATCGGTTATGTAAACTAAAGTAAACTTTAAATTGTATAAGGCGGATAATATGACTGTGAAACAATCTGTTTATTCGAAACTTCCGTTATTTTGTTTAAGATATGGTAACGATAAAAACTTCCAATATATTGAAAGAATACCTAAAAAAAGATAATAAATATCGCATAAAATGATTATACCAGAAATTCAACTGTGTACTTGAGGAACCAAGAATTCTGGTGATCCCCTACCCATTGTCTACGTAACACGATTGAACCCGTAGTTTGTATGCAGACAAGGACTGTCAACTCAGCAGTATTCCTCAAAATTATTTGTGTTCAATTTCGAATTACCCAATAGTAAGAATACTCCTTGATGATGCATTTTATTGAATCAAGTCGGTGTTTAAGACGTTAGCTCACAAATGGAGGATCGTACTAGTTTAAAGGGACTTCAATGCTTAGTGATTATGCCGTGACTGAAGCTCGCCGAAGCGCAGTCTTTTGTGCCTACCTACAAAATGATTGCTTGTGTATGTATGTAGATACTTCCAAAAGCATCAAAGCCTACAGACCGAAAGTGAAATGCTAATCTCTCAATCGAGTTAATTCTCACTGGCTCAGCTGATTCGTCACAAAGATGTTTTCACGTTAACGTATACTTGTGTAATATATACATATATACATATGTTTGGATGTATTTACATATTTACTTGGAGCAAAGCAAATGTGCTTGTGTGAAAAACAATTGAAAACCAAAACAAAGTGGCATAAAATTGAAAGCAAAAAATTTAAAGTGAGAAATTGTGTTAAGCTTTCCTCAAATGTTAGCACTCTACACAACAAACATTTATATATGTGCACACATTTATACATTCCGAAATACTTAAAATCATAAAATGCAGATATATATTGTGATTGAGCGTATAAATTGGTCTGTGTATTTCAGAAATATCATCACAACTAGTTTTGTTTTTAGGCACATGATTGTTTGAATTAAATCGTTCTGAAAATAAATTAACTATTGTTTAAATGCCAAGCCCTACGTCGAAACTACTCAAAAAGCTAGAATATTGTAGTTTTTGTCGAATTAAAGAAAATCCATATACTTAATGTTATTTGATCCAACCGTATCAAGAAAGGTTTGTTAAGAAACAGTCTCACAATTAAAAAATCGAATGTAAAGAAATCCAATTCTGACTATCGAGCGTTTAGTTTTTATCGCCTGTAGCTGGCATTCATATGGCTATAAAAGATGCTGAATACATCCAGATAATAGTTAGATGTAATTCGTTAATTTGGCCACAATAAACTATGACATCCGAAGTTTTGGATCTAGTATGTATTTTACACTTTTTACTGAAATACTTAGTACTAGGTGATACGCTCTACTCTGTTTATGTACGAAATTTTTTACATAATTCAAGTGGCCTTAGTGCAAAGTGCCAGTGCCTGACCTCAGATTAACGGTTAACTCTTTTAGTTTTTATGGCAGTTATTATAATTTAAGAGTTTAAAAAACCCTCACACCGCATTACACTGATTCATACCCCACATCTGTCTGGCTTGATTACAAGAGTACTCTTGTTATCGGCGACTTCGATATTAATATATAATATTATTATTTCTTAGTTACATTTGCAACTTTACAGGTAGCGTTAACCGCTAAGTAGCGTGTACATCTTATTCGTGCTCACCAGCAGTTGTTGAGTAGAGTTCGTAGTTGAGAGAGGTTCTGATATGCTTTTGCAAAATGACTATGTTAACAACAGGCGATTGGCTGCAGCCAGCAGGGACCGGTAACATAGCTGGATCTGCGCGAATTTTCGCTAAACGAATATAAAACCAGCGGTCGCGAATATTTGCCCAGTCGATCGTTTTCAGTGAACCGAGTGCGCAAAGCGATTTCCAATCGAGCAAAATCAATTTACGCAAAAATGCTCTGTTGAATAAATAAATGTGTATGAACAGACATAAGCATAACTAAGTTAATTTGCTAAATTAAAAGGACATTCAAAAGCATTCACGCTGCTATCCACTTCATTAGAGGTTCTAAAGATCAAAGTGTATTCAAATGCCGGTATAGTCGCGTAGTCGCGGGTGAGTGCGCGCATAAATTCGTGTCCCAGACAAAATAATCGTGTTGTGCAAATGCTAATCGTTTAAATTTAAAATAAACAAACAAAAATCTTAAGAAATTAAATTTTCGAAATTTTTCGTATCCATTCACGTCGCTGTGTGTGCCACAGTGATTTAGTGTTCTGGCTCTTTGACGCATCAGCACATATTGGAATCACCAAAAATCAGCGATAACGTGAGAATAGCTAGAATAGCAAAACAAACAAGAAAAACGCTAGCAAAACAAATCGTGCTGACATCGAATTTGAATAAAATAATAAATAAACATAACAAAATGGAAATACAGAATTTGCACGAGCCAACAATGTTGGGAAAGAAACGGGATTTCGCGAAAAAAGACGCGATTATCCTTGAGGCGCGGTACACGGTAAGTAGTGTAAACGGCTGCAAATCTGAAAAATCAAACAGAATTAATCGAGTGCACTTAATTATTCAAGTGCATAGAAATCTATTTACATATGTACGTACTATGTATGTACATGCAAATGTGTTGTCTAATATACGTAAGAAGATGTGTAACATTTGAGGTTTTATCACACTCCCCTTGGTTTGGTGTGCAGAGCGTGTTGACTGCGGCGCAATGTTTTCATTATATCATTTCATCGTCAAAATGTAAACAATTCAAATTAATTAGAGTATGGGGCACGCGGCACCTGTCGGCGATTAATTCAAGATACAAATATTAGATTATATTGAAGATGATGTGAACATTAGTTTTTGTTTATGGGATTGAAAAACGAAAGGTTTTGAAACCGATATTTTTCTTGTAGAATTGGAAATTTAATTTATATATACATATTTTGAGATATATAGTATATGTATACACAAGTCAGTGGGTGTGTAGGTTTTTTTTTTTTTTTGTTTTTAGTCATAAGAAATATGAGAAAACCAGAAGTAAGCTGCTTGTTTAATGGTGATCGGAGAGGTACAGATGTATGTGCATATGTGCGCAGTAAACAGGAAGCTTTCTATGATTTGGGCAGCATTCTGACAGGTCTTTACTTAACTGAGTAGACCAATACAGCAGTTGATACTGGAAAATGGCATTGCTGCATTCGCAAATACAAAATATGCGAAAATTGAAGTCGAAATTAGATATGGAGCCTTTAAGTTCACAATACATACATACATATGTACATACAATCAATCAATAATACTGGGAGAAAGTAAAATTAAGTTTGAATATGTTTATACTAAATATTCCATATTTGTGAATAAATTACAATATTGTGGTAATACGTTTATACTTAAATACGAATATGCCCACATACATATGTGTGTATCAACGAAGCTAGAATATCCTTCACAAATAAAAAAGTTTCCATATAAGAATTTGGTTTTGATCGGTCAGTTTGTACGGCAGCTATAAGCAATAGCAAGTTGAGCTGTAATTGCAAAGTTGCTTTGGACAATAATCTATGGCAAGTTTCGTGAAGATAGCTGAAATTGATTCCGATCGTTCGTATGACAGCTTTATGCTACGTCAGTTCTGACAAATGAGCAGCTTCGTGGGAAACAAAGACGTGTGCCAAATTTAAGATCGATATCTCAAAAAGTGAGGGACTAGTTCGAGTATATGCAGACCCTATTTTATAGGGTATCCGAACATTCCTTCAGTCAGGATTTAATTGCACAAATTATTTCGATTATAACCGCTCTTCTAACTGACTTTTGTACAAAGTATGCCGCATTTATTAAAAAGAAGAAGAAGAAAAATTCGTCCAGAAAGTGGTTGGAGATTATAATTATGTGATGAAAGTTTTATAATATTTCAAATATTCAAATACTCGGAGAAACAACGTATGAAGGGTCTGAAACTGCTTGCTTTCTATTTGGTAGACTTTTTCCACATGACCAATCTCGCCTGCGGTAAATTTTGCTATTTTAATAAATTCATTATCAACTATCCAGTATACAAATGGTACTGGAATTGATTTTTGAACGTTGGTGTTGCATTTTTCTAATTGCTTTCAAAGTTTCGATCACTTAACTTCATTAGTTGCTTACGCTAATACCAGATATATAAGTATTGTATTATAATTTGTGGTCGTTTTACATATAATTTTCTAGGTACACCTAATATATGAAGGTGCACGTATTTTTGTAAAAATTATGTACCCTTCTTTCAGATGATAGCTTTTTATTTGGTTATAAATTTCGATTATAATATATAATAATATTATATATCATAGTTTACAAGCAGTACATACATATTTAAAATAAAATTAAAGAATTTTTGCCCATTCCATTTTGTATTATAATAAGTTTTAGATATCCTTCTTGTTCTATTTATCGGACTTTATAATTAGTTGTGTGTTTTGGATAGAAAAATGTATTACCTCCCTATTACTATGTGGACGGCCCGGCAGTCAGCCGTAACTACATCACTGTTTGTAATGCTGACTAACCCGATAATTTCTAAAGTCACCAGCAACCGTTAAGAGGAAAATTCAAGTGGCAAACATTTTAGTTACACTCTTCCTACACAGGTTTATTCCCAGCCATAATTAAGTCTCACCATTACCGTTATAAAAAGTGATGGATGATTTACTGATTTTGTCGCATTGTGAAGTCTCATATAAGTACACAGTACATACATATGTATGTATGTCATTTTGTTCACCGTGACATGTTAATTAATTTACCCAACAATTGTGATGGGAAGTTATCCACAGATTATATTTGTGTCATTATATTAAATAAGTAAAAACGTTGTTTCATAATTTGTTACTTTGCCTGAAAGTGAAAAAAGAAAATCACTAGTCCTAGATCAGAAATTTTGTTTATTGCTGTTTATTTATTTTTAAAATAATTCGAGACGTAATATACATACATATTTTGTATTTAACAAAATGGGAAGTTCTTTTCTGATATATAATATAAATCATTGTGTTTTAGTATGTAGCACGTGTAGGCATAAATTAAGTATTTTGAATGACATTTATGTGTATAATAAAGAAATAATAATAAGCTCACGAAATTTAGGTGTATGCATGCATATGTTATAAAATAAGAGCATGTGATACACCCCTGAACTTAAAATGGTGATTTACGACTGGCGGTGTGTATTAACGCAATTTGCTGACCACTTCAGGAATTTGGTGGTATACTTAAGTGCGAATGAAATTATGCGTGAAATTCTTAATTCAGGCACATTTTTGAATTGAGCTTTTCGCCAAAATTAATTAATATATTTCATATATTCCTATATAACACTTATGGAGAGGTAATTAATTTTAAATTAAATTCTTGGTTTTGAAACAAACATGAATATATTTACACACTAACACACAAAAATATAATAACAAAAAACTGCAAAATAGAACATTTCAAATTTTCTTTTAATCTTTTTAGTTGTCTGATCTTTACCCAATACGAAGGCTAACGCAAAAGATGGATAATGTCCTGAATGTAGCCGGCATAACACAACCCAAGCCTCCAGATTCAACTCCATACACAGTGGAGCTCATTACCGAGAAGGATAAAGAGGCGGTGCTTGCAATGCTTCGGAAGTTTTTCTTCAAGGTATGTTTTCGTGGAATCATTATGATCCATTTATTAATATTTATTATACTTAATCAATGACGATTCACCAAATTACTTACACCCTACATGTGCGGTTATTTTAAAGTTCTTAGAGGTGTCTAATTAAGTTCGAGAAACTTCAAAGAAGTACAGGGTATTCCACTAAGAGTGTTATGATTTCTTTTCACAAAGGGACACATTAATTGTTAATGAAGTTCAAATGATTTTCATTGAATGTGAATGCGATTTTAATCAATACAATTCAGTTCTCAATACATATAACATCATTCAAATGGCCTCCACGACTTCTTTTGCAAGAACAAATACGACAATCCCAAATTTTCCACTAAATCCACTCCTACGCCTGAACAAAACGATCAATATTGACATTTAAAGCTTGAAGAGAGTCTTGTGTATTGCTAAAGACCAATGATTTCAAATAACCACACAAGAAGTAGTTTAATGGTGTTGAATCACATTTTCTTGGAAGCCATCCAATGTCACAATTTCTTTAAATAATTGAATCTTCAAACTTTGGTTATGATCGATCGCTCTCCATTGAAAGTAACAATGTCACCAGATTCGTTTCGAATGGAGAATGGGCCGATGAGTTCATCAGATCAAAAACCACACCAAAGTGTTGTTTTAGGTGAATGTAATGGTTGTTCATGAATAATTTGTGTATTTTTTTCGTACCAAAATCGACAGTTTTGTTTATTTACTGCACCACTTAAAAGTCAGCCTCAACGGCGTAGATTTTCTTAATAATTTAATATTATTTTGATAACAAGCTTGAATAATTTGTAAATGTTCCTCGTCCGTATATCTTTCCATAATAAAATTTTAAACATTATTGAATAGAGTAAAACAATTTCAGATCAAAATATAATAGGCTGTCGAAAAAGTCTTGCGGTAATTTTTATTTATTTATTTTTTTATTTTATAACGGCTTGATGACTCATGCCCAGCTCGTGACCGACGCTACGGCTGCTACTGTGACGGTCTCTTTCGACCAAATCAGCGATTTTATCGCAATTTTCGACGACAGGCCTTCCGGAGCGTGGCGCATCTTCGACCATCTCTACACCAGAACGAATACGTTGAAACCATCGTTGTGCGGTGGAAATGGAAACTTTATCGTAGTAGTACTGCAAAATATGTCGTATTTTCTCTTTATTTTGCTCCATGTTTGCAACGCTATAAATCACGAACGACTTAAAAGAAACGAAAATTAATCAAACACGAGTTAGCGCGTGAAATGAGCTTTCCAAAAAGGTATAGCATGACCCGATGCGACGAATAAAACTAGAACTACGCGCTCTCAGCGCCAACTAGCGAAAATACCGMAAKACTTTTTTGACAACCTAATATTAAAAATGGCCGAAGCGTCACTTAGATATAATGTCATCGCTATTGGAAAACCTGATACTATTATATTTTGATTGCAATAGATTCTTTTATTCCTACTGTATAAAGAAAATACAAAAATGTTCCGTTAGTTTGAAAGGAAAAACGCATATTATTCTACGGAGACATGCATACACAGTATACATATGTACATACATAGTATAAGAAAGCGGTATATCCTAATAAATATATGGATTACCTTTATTCGCAGATACATATGTACATACATCCATATGTAAGTATATTAAAAACATATGTGTATTCGTATATAATTTAGCTTTTACGATGTGAGTGACCTTTGAGAAAACGGATGCGACTCGCTAGCTATTATGAGAGTGAATGCTCAAAATTTATTAATCTTTGGATAAATGTAAAAAGTTGGCTTATATCTCATGGAATCTACATATTTATATAAGCACTTGCATATAAAAAGGAAAGGTGTGAAACTTTGTATGCAAACGCATGTTTATAGCCAATAAAAAATTCGCGCTGCATGCAAATGAACGAGAATATTAAATATGCAATTACGTTCTACAACATACAATAGCATCAGGCGTCACTGAGAAGGCGGCAATAACAATAGTACTATGTATGAGGTACGCACTTACATACAGACATATGTACATACTACAAATGATCAAAGAGTTTCGCGATCTGCCACAAGTATGTTCTTATGGTTTCAACTACATAGCATTCGTTTTGTGGCAGGTAAAAAGAAATTTTCCCAACTTAGTACTTTAAGCACTAGAATTATTGATTTTTGAAAATGAAAATAAAAAAACAGTTTAGTCTCTAACGCCCTACTTAGTGCCTTATTTTGATCTCATATATAATTAATAACATCAAATAATTGGAACTACAAGTGTTTACTGTATTTTAAACAGAGCTAGACTGAACTGTTTGATAAACTAGAACCGTCTTTATTGAAAATGTATAACAGCCTTTTGCGAAAGATTTTGTTACAGATTTCGAAATTCTGAAATTTTTGTTAGTATTTTCGAAATTTTGCACATTTCGCCATTCGGCTTGACAATTTAATATGATGGAATTTTTCCAATCGAGAGGAGCACACTTATCAAACTTCGAAATATGAATATTTAAGAGTCTCAGTTCCTCCTGACCTTTGACTCCTGCTAAATACAACCTGTTGTTTAACAAAAGGTTTGATTTCCTTTCAAAAATTAAGTGCTTTTTATAGAAATACCTTGCTTTTTCCAATGTTCGCTGTTTTTTTAAATATAAAAGTTGGTAACTATGAAACATGTGTATAAAACGACATACATACGATGAAATGCCTATACCATTAGGCAATGAGAAATTGCATAATAAATCGTTCGTATCAATAACCTATTACGTAAAGACGCTAGCAACCGGCGAACTTTTACCCTGTAATCTCTTTATAAATTCTATAAATAGGCATTATTTTTATTTCGTACATAACAGCGACCTATGTCGGATTTTCGAAAAAAATAAATATAATATATTTTACAAAAGGCTGAATCGTAGCCAATGTCTTTCTCCTGGTATGTGTATTTACATACTTTTGAAATAAAACTTCTAGACAAAAACATTTACAATAAAATATCCTTAATTTTATGAAAACTAAAATAAGAAATTGCTGAATTCATTATTTGCTTTTTTTTCCTTGATAGACACGCAATTGCTTTTCATGAAACTCGTTTGAAAGTTAACTTTTCAACGAATGATTATAAACAAGTATTAAATGAACCATTTAGTTAATATAAGCTTGACAGAAAAATTATTAATAATATTTTATTACATATATTCCTCCTGCATATCGAAAACTGTTAAACAACAGATATTGATCAGAATACAAATATATATATAGGATAGCCCTTCCAAATAAACGCACTTGTTTCAACTTTATAATTAGCATACACTTTTATTTCAAATACATAAATGTTAAATGTTCATGTACAAACTGAATATGTGAAGTTAGTTCGTTTGACCGTCCTATATGTGTGATGACTGCAGGAATAAAGGGATGTTAAACTTATTCCAGTGTGAGAGCGCCTCAAAATTAGCGTTTTTTATGA